CAGGTATACAACGCCCAGCTGGAAACACTTCACGCAAGTTGAGCTGCCCGAGATTCACAGAATTTACAAAAAAGGAAAAATGTTTGTGGTTTATATCGTTGTCGGGACGATAAATGTCTTATATCAGGATATGAGATTTTGGTCATGTCACACGGTCCTACTTGGTCAAGAACTAATTATTTGGTTCAGGTGTGTTGAACCATTGGTGAGATCTAAAACCTGCAGGACACCGGCCCTTGAGGCCTGGAGTTCCTCACCCTTGGTTTAGAGCTTCAGCTTGTTCAGTTGCTGCTTGTTCAGGGTCACATGACCTTTGATTTGTATGTCATAGTGTAGAAAGTGTTTACTGTCCTTTCCACAAGTTGGGAAGTTTTTGTAATTCTAAAAAAAGAAGAGAGAAAAAAAAAAAGCCCAGTTGGGCACACACACCCTTTGTACCTCTTTGTTCTGCCTGATCAGCTCGCTGTTACTCTTCATATAATGTATTAACTTAATTAATTGTGCATTTTTGCATAAAACACCACATCAGGGTACTGGATGTTTGTGTCAAGTGTCAGAAGATTCATTAGCATAGACTTTTTTTACATTTTTGCTATATTTTAGTTTGAAATGCAGCCAATGGGTTTGTGTGATGTTATGGCACCCTCCCAAAAGGTTGATTCTGTTCATCTGGACGTACCTTTTGGGATTTATTTACCTGGATGATTGAGCATGCATCGAGACATTGCGGCACTGAAAGATTCCTGACTGTGGCTTTCTGTCTATTCAGGAGGAGATAGCCAAAGGAAAAGATTCAGAAGATAAAGAAAGCGGACTTCCTTTCCCCCACTGGATCTGCCAGCCATATGTCAGACCAGTGTAAGTCACAACACATCTCTACTTACTTCAGTAAAAAGTAATGCACATCTTTTGATCCATGGACACACTTCTCAAAAGATTTCTCACTGTTGGATGATCACGTTACAGGCCAAAAGAGACGGTTACCAACGGTAACAGCCAGGCATCAGTGTTGAAAAAGACAGTTTGTCAGAAGAGGGCACTGGAGGACTGTGAGTCAGCTGACACACTCTCTAAAAACAAGCAGAAGAAGAGATCCCGCAACCCCAAAAAGAACTTCTGCCCCGAACAGAAACGTAAGTTTGTGCTGTCGACTTAACCTGCTGGTCAAAAGTCTTAGAACACCCCAATTTTTCCAGTTTTTCTAATTGAAAATTATGCATTTTAATGTCTCATTGCACTCTGAAATGAAAGCATTGTACAAATACGGAATTGGAGTTTAAAAAAAAAAAGTATCTACTTTTGATAGATATAACAGCTGAACACACCCGTGGGAGTCTTTGTACAATAGAAATCAAATATTCTTCAGAAAGTCTTTCCCAATCTGTTGCAGAAGGTCCCATAAATGTGGCACTCGTAGGTCGCTTTGCTTTCACTCTTCTGTCCAGTTCATCCCAAACCAGCTCGATGGAGACTCGATGGTCATTATCCTGCCGTAGGATGAACCCCGACTATTTTCTAGGCACAAACCAGAGAGTATTGCTTGGCGCTGCAGAATGCTGTGGCAGCCGTTTTAGTTCATCACTCTGTACAAGTCGCCGACCCTGGATCCAGTAAAAAAAGCCCCAGACCATCACTCTTCCTCCTCCATCTTTGACAGTTGATGCGCCACACTGAGGAACCATCCTTTCGCCTACTTGATGGCGTACAAAGACCCTATATGTTGAAGATATCAAATTCAAGACTTCCAGTCTTCCACTGGTGGGGTTTCATGGCCCAGGCAAGCCTCTTTGTCTTATTCTGACGTCTTAGCGATGGCTTTCTTGCTGCAACTCGTCCTGTCATACCTGCAGCTCGAAGTCTTCTCTTCACAGTTGAGACTGAGACTTGCTTTCTATACCACTATTAAGCTGTGCTTGAAGCTGTTGTTCTGTGAGCCGCTGATCACACAAGCGGTTAACTCTCAGAAACTTGTCCTCTGATTCAGTTGTGGCCTCTTCCTGTCACAGTTTCTGAGGCCTTTTGATGTTGAAGGAAACTGTGCTCACTGACACCTTGACCTTCTTTCCAATTTCTCTGTAGGAATAACATTTTTAAGTATTTGATGGTCTGTCTCGCTTCCATTGTTAATTCCCCTATTCGCGCCATTTTTGTAGCAACACAGAATTTTCTGCAGTACAATACTTTCAGGTGCTGCTCACAAGTGTATGTTACCACACTGCTTTTATGCAGACAGAGGGGGTCGTAAGTGTAAATGACCACGGCAGACCATGCTTTGTTGCATCTTTATTCAACCACTTTTCCCACACACGGTTGCTGTACACTTACAATGGGCTGCAGTTTTGCGGCTGCCAGGCACACACATCGACAGCAACCCCATGACGGGACCCTACACCACTCTGAAGATGGCGAGGTGTGATTGTGATGCCGCGCAGGTGCATTCGCCTACCCTGCTGTGGCGCCATCCTCGCCACAGTAAGTAATCCAGAAAAGTTGGAACACCTGTAGGAATTAGTAGCACCAGCTTGATCAACCTCCATTGCTGCAGAACAGCTTTAAATTGTTAACCCATATTGTGTTCTCTGAAAAAGGCCTTTTGTACATTATGTACATATTTTTCAGTTTTGTGTAACCTTTTTTTTTTTTTATTTAACTTCTGGCAGTTCACCATTTACCTTTTGTACCATTTCAAACTTTTCATTGGACTTGAATTGCAATAAATAACTGGAAAAATTGGGGTGCTGTAAGACTTTTGACCGGTCTTGTAAATTGTCAAGTTCCTCATTGAAAATGTGAGTCACTGGTCACTAATGTGCATCTTATTTCTTCCTGCAGCCAAATACATCAAATGTGAACAATGTGGTAACCCAAAGGTAAGCAGAATTCAAACTCTGACCTTCAAGTTTGGACAACAGATTAAAAGATGAGCTATTAGATTCAACTGTCAGTTGCTCAAGCACATTTTCATAAAGGTTAGACATGACATTTAGTTAGAAATTCTTTGTTTTGTTCCATTCGCACTGCTTTTGAGATTAAGCCACGGTTTTGCTTTTATTTGATCATTAGCCTGAATCCTGTGAGCTTCTACTTTAACTTTCCTCTGCAGGGAAATAAGTGCGTCTTCAGCCTTTGTCGAGGCTGCTGTAAGAAGAAGGCTTACAAAGAAGTGGCAGACTGTCCAAGTAAGTGTGTACGTACACTCACTCATGAGGTGCTGTGTGTTGATCCTGTGTAGTGGATATGATTTCTAATCACACTGTCTGCTGATTTATTGACACAAAGACTCCCAGAGTTTATTACCGCCACATGTTAAGACATTAATGTGTTAGACTGGGTTACACAGTCCACAGCAATACAATACAGCAATTATCCAGCCTGTCGTTTGTCAAGATGTTTCGTATCACTGTGAATCCACAATTAAGAAAAAGAAAAAACAAGAAATGAAAAGGATCGACTCATCTGTGATATAAATGTGTTTATTTCCTGTGTTTAACAGGCCACGGGCTGAGGTTCAAGACCAAGGCAGAGAAACGGAAAGCAGAGGAGAAGGAGCAGGCGGAGAGATCCACAGCAGAGGTTGAAAGAAGCGACCACATTCCTCAGCCTCTGCAGGATTCAAGAAGGGAACTGGAGGAGCCTCGGCTGCTGCTATGAGCAGGACTGCAGCCATCTCTGCGTGCACAAGCCACACACTCACTGGAGGGTGGAAGCAGTGCATGCAGTAGTCGGTGCATACTGTGTACACAGCTGCTAAGTAGTCTGTTTGGGACTGATGGTGAAGTGTCATCAATCAACAGACCAAAAAATAAAAGCTTATTTTTATGTAAAAGAGATTTCTAGGTGAATAAGCAGTCGGGCGGGGGACTATTTATTTTTTTTACTTTTTTTTTTTTTTTTTTTTTTTTTTAAGGACCGATATTCTAAAGACATTATTTTACCCAAAGTTGTTGGTGAGTCTTCACAGGGAAAGATTTAGTAACTTGTTGGTAGCAGATGTGTTATACACACATGTAGATGCTGCATTGCTCAACTGCTGTTCACTGGAACACTGTGCCAACATATACATACATATATAGCTCAGGGAGAGCATGGTCTCCTTTTGCTTATTTCTCTGTGGAGGCAGAACACAGAGTTTCTAAGTACTTGAACTGTAAAAGGATCCTGAAGCAGTTTCGATTGTTCAAATGCTGCAACTGTACTTATGGTACAAGATGTTTAGTGTGCTTAATTTTGTATGTACAACTCAAGCACACACGTTAATGTCTGTCACGTTAATGCTTGGAAGCATTCTGATAAGTTAGGACTACCTAACCCATCATAGGGACTGATAAGTGTCATTTTCAGGCTCATATACATTACTTTGATTAAAGCGTTCCTCTTCTTGTTCAAACATGACAGAATCCATTTTAATTCAGTCAGAAGTAAAATATAAAACCAGTTCTCACAAGTGGAACTTTACTTATTTCTTAGTTTGACATATATTTAAAATAAGTGGCGTTTCATACAGGAGCTGGTCAGAAGCCTTAGTATTGCCTGAGCAAGCTCTTCTGACACGACTGGATGCAGCATCTACCCGTCTATATGTGTTTAATTAAAGTCATAAATGTGGTTACTTTCTTTATTTTGCATTAAGATTAGCCATAGTGCACTGTGTGCCTTTTGAATGAAATCACTGTCTGTCCAGAACTTAAGCATAAAGGACACAATTCAGCGCTCCCTCTGCTGCTGAGTAAAACATGCTCAGCCTAAAATTTAAAGGTGCTGCTGGTGTATACAGGGTAATAAGGTACAATGGACATCAAAGAGGATGTGTGTTTTGTGGTAGTTGGCCCCACACTGTCAAAGGTTGGGGGCAACTGTAAATTTGGCAACACAGATGAACAAATGTATAGATTTTTATCTGTAATGGATCGAGCTATAATGAAATCACCCTCTGGTTTCTGGACTCTGAATTTTTGAAAATACATTTTAATTCTTCTCATTGTAATTTTTAAAAAGTCCTTTTGGGTGGAAGAGTTAAGTTGTGAACTAGCTCTGCTTAGTTTGGTTAGCAAGCGTCATCCGCATGCATATGGCTCTCACACAAACCTGCTAATAAGGGACAAAGTAAAGAAGTCATAAATTGCACTCGCCAGCCTGTAGCACAAACTTCTTGGACTAATGCCATTTAAAAATGCTTCAAAAGGTGCAAAACTCACAAAAATGCTAAATCCAGGTAACTCGGATTAACAGGACTCCTGTTCAACATTGTGGTAAAGTCCCTAATGTTAAGTCTTACAGGTGTTCAGATTCATTTTTAAGAGAAAAAATCTATTGACACTACAACAAAGGTCCAAACCATTTTTACAGCAGACAGTAAATGCACTTTTAATATTGTAAAGCATTTTAGCAAAGTGTTTGGTGACTGACAGCCTCAAGTGGCGAATCCAGGAACTGCAATTTTTGCTTCATGTTTTCAGGTTGCTGTTTGGGTGGCATTGATGTCTTTGTCTCCTTGGTAACTAGCTTGTTTACTAACAGGACCACCTAAGCAAGCCCAAAAAATGCTTTAACTAATTCCAATGATTTTTTATTACTTATGCCCTAAAATAGCTGGAGAGCATTTACTGTTATGAGCTATTTTAGATTCAATTAAAAAAAACAAAACATGAATTTTGGTTGCAGGCTCCAGTAGCTTCTTGTTTACGTTTTTTTTATTTTTCAATTTTTTTTTTTATTTCAAATCGGTAAACCTGTGTCTATTTTATTTCCTGCTTTTCATATTGGTTTTTCTTATAGCCTTTGCAGCTGGTACAATGCAGTATTTTAAAGCAAGGTGCGTCATCTATGCTAACATAAATTGTGTTTATAAAAATAAACATTAATACTAAGGGTGCAACGATACACAAAATTCACGGTTCGGTTCGATACTTTGGTGTCACAGTTTGATATTTTTTCGATACAAAAAAGTTCATGCCTTTTTAATTTGTCATTTATTAAAATTAGAAATATATATTTTAACTCAAAAGTACAGTTTTTAAATTTAATGTTGCTGAAACAACAAAATAATAATAAAAAAATCTATCTGATCGAGTATTACAGAGAAATGGCTCTTTCCAAAATAAAAGCTATATTATAGCTTCTTCTGGGCTATATTCTCAGCAGCATATTAAACATATCAGGTCCCCATAAGGAGAATCCTGTGCTAACGGCTGTCTAAATGACTCGGGTAAAGTTTGTAGCATGCGGGGTCTAAGGAGCTTGGAAAGAAAAGCGTCTGGACTTTGAGTTGCTTGAAGACGTTTCACCTCTCATCCGAGAAGCTTCTTCAGTTCTAAGGTCAAACGGTGGAGATCAGACACCAGCGAGGGAGGATAAGAAAGACAGACGCAACAACATTGTCATCCCTTATGTAGCCGGTGTATCAGAAAAACTCAGGAGAGTTTTCTCCAAGCATGACATCCCGGTGCATTTCAGACCCAGCAACACGCTCAGACAAAAACTGGTTCACCCGAAAGACAAAACTCCAAAACACAGACTTAACAATGTGGTGTATGCTGTACAGTGCAGCGAGGAATGCCCAGACCTCTACATTGGAGAGACCAAACAGCCACTTCACAAGCGCATGGCACAACACAGAAGAGCCACCTCCACAGGACAAGACTCAGCAGTCCATCTGCATCTTAAGGATAAAGGACACTCTTTCGAGGATGCCAATGTTCACATTTTGGACAGAGAGGACAGATGGTTTGAAAGAGGAGTGAAAGAAGCCATCTATGTCCACTGTGAGCGACCATCTTTGAACAGAGGCGGGGTTTACGACACCAACTCTCTGCCATCTATAATCCAGTTTTGAGATCCCTTCCCAGACGCCTTAACGCCCACTCACATCCTGGGCCATCTGACCTCAGGAATTCGCATGATAAGGTGGGGCCAGGTTTCACAATGAACTCACCCGAAACTCTGGCTGATTGGGACCCACACCCAGTTTCACACCTTGGCTCAGGGGATTAGAGGATCATCAGGGGGTCCTTTTGTCCCTCTGTGGGGGGAACTCCCACTAGGTTTATATCTGGGACTCTCCACCATTTGACCTTAGAACTGAAGAAGCTTCTCGGATGAGAGGTGAAACGTCTTCAAGTAACTTAAAGAAGTCCAGACGCTTTTCTTTGCAAGCTCCTTTGACTACGATGACCTGGATGAACCTTCACAGACATCAAAAGAATGATGTGCCTCTGACCGCATCAGTTCATTCTGTTCCTGTTGTTGGATATACACTATAAATATTTTTGAGCGCAGAGTGCCATCTTGTGGTCAAATCAAGGTGGTCAAATTGTGAACGAAATTTGGAAAAACTCTCTTTCAAATGTGTCAAAAATGAGACTTTCTATGATGTAATATTTAAGGGGTGTCAAACATGCAGACCATAGACTAGATCCCGCCCACCCAAGTCTGCTGGTTGGATTTGCAAAGTGCACTGTGTGGCTATTATGGGTTGGGTTTGAGTGTAAATTCTGAAAAGTTAAAAGGTATTTAATAAAACAAAATAAATAAAAGTGAGAACAAAGCGGTAAAAGTCTGTCATTGTAAAAATAAAGTTTTATACCATCTGCAAGCTGTCAAAGATAAGTGATATGTACACTTTGTCTCTTGAAGAGGGAGCACCTTTGTTCACCTGGACATTTACTAAAGTAGAAGAAAGAAAGAAAAGATAACAGTTGATTTTATCCAATTAACAAACTGTTGTTATGACATTTAGTCACTGCAGAGTAGTTACAACACAGAAATGAATCGGGTGGATGAGGTGACGGAGAAGGAGGAGATGAAAGGACACAAGGAGAAATGATGCAAGAAAAGACGACTGCAAAGAGTGTTGTCTTGTCTTTACATTTCTCTCTGCCCCCTCATGTATGCCTGTCTAGAACCGGCCCAGTATATAATATAGACTTGTAAAAATGCTAAAAATCAGATTGAAAAATTTGCACACATACAACTATGTATCCAAGGAAGGCGTTGCTATGGACGAGGGGGTGTCATCAGTGCCTTTTTTGAAACATGTGAACAGGAATTCTTCAAATCACAAAGAGACACTAAAGTGATGCTTTAAAGCTTTAATGCAAAGAAATCTGTTAACTGAGCCACAGTCAGCTACCATTACCATGGAGTGACAGTGCTTTACAGGAAAGAAGCTAAAAGTAAGACAGCTTATGAGATGAGTACAGCGGGCAGTGTCGGTTTCTGAGGAGTTCACATCTCAGCTGGAGCTTTCTCAGCACGGTGGATGTAGTCGTTTATGAAGGTCAGATACTTTGCAACCTCAGTACAGACGCCAGGGCCGTCCTTGGGGCCACAACCACCAGAACTCATGACTCCCACCTGAACTAATTTCCCCCCTTTACGGCACACCAGTGGACCACCATAGTCTCCCTGTGGAAGCAAATCACACAACTTGGACTTAGATTCAACAATAAACTCCAAAGTAACGAGTAACTACTAGTTTCTGTCAATTCAGCTGAGTGAAAGTAAAGTACTTCATGTGTGATAAATCAAAAAGTGTTTGTTTATTTCAAAGTGGTAATAATCCATTTGATTAAATGCAAAAGACTACAAAAAAGGGAAAAACTCACTTTGCAGGCACCCCTTCCCTTGCTGTCATTTGTGCATAGTGTATTAGAGGCTATCTGAGGAAGCCTCTCCTTACAGGTACTCTGAGAGATGATGGAAATCTTGAGCTGCTGAAGTGTTTCTGGAGCTTTCAGTGGAACTGTGGACACACAGGAAAAGTATGGAAGTGACAGAAAGGTGATGTTTCTTATCTGTGAAGTACCTTACTATGCAAAGTATGGACGTAGGCTATGTCTATACACAATTAAATACCGTTTACTGGTGACAGTATGGCAATTTACAATGGATCTGTGAGCCTACCTTTTACAGCGTGAACATTTTAAAGCCTACTTTCTGTGCTTAACTTACCACCATTTCCCACTTCCCCCCAGCCAGTGATCCAGCACTCAGATGATGGACCAAAGGTGTCATCCTTGTCAGGCAGAGCCACTGGTGCAACATCTTTTGAAAATGTAATCGGTTTCTTCAGCTTGATCAGAGCAATGTCATTTTTGTTGCCGTTGCCCAG